TGTCTGTCCCTGTGTCCCCATGTCTGTGTCCTCATGTCTTGTGTCCTGTCCCCATGTCCCATGTCCGCATCCCACTGTCCGTGTCCCTGTGTCCCCATGTCTGTGTCCTCATGTCTTGTGTCCTGTCCCCATGTCCCATGTCCGCATCCCACTGTCCGTGTCCCTGTGTCCCATGTCCGTGTCCCCGTGTCCTCTGTGTCCCACTGTCCACCCATGTCTGCATCCCACTGTCCGTGTCCCTGTGTCCCATGTCCGTGTCCCCGTGTCCTCTGTCTGTGTCCCACTGTCCGTGTCCACACCCCACTGTCCATGTCCCTGCATCTGTGCCCCCGTGTCCTGTGTGCCGTGTCCGTGTCTCCCAATGTCCATGTCCTGTGTCTGATGTCCACATCCCACTGTCCGTGGCCCCGTGTCCATGTCCCCGTGTCCATATTGCTGTGTCTGTGTCCCCATGTCCCGTGTCCATGTCCCTTTCCCATGACCCTGTGTCCATGTTGCCATGACCGCGTCCCGTGTCACCGTGTCCTGTGTCTATGTCCCTTTCCTGTGTCCGTGTCCCGTGTCCTTGTGTCCCATGTCCTGTGTCCCTTTCTCATGTTGTCTGTTGCTGTGTCCGTCACATGTTGCTGTGTCATGTGTCCCCGTGTCCTGTGTCGCTGTGTCCCATGTCCTGTGTCACTGTGTCCCATGTCCCCATGTCCCGTGTCCATCTTCCTTTCCCGTGTACCCGTGTCCATGTCCCTGTGTCCCATGTCCCATGTTTCATGTCCCTTTCCCGTGTCCCCGTGTCCGTGTTGCCATGTCCGTGTCCCCTGTCCGTGTCCCATGTCCCTGTGTCCTGTGTCCCATGTCTTGTCTCAGTGTCCGTGTCCCCGTGTTCCATGTCCCGTGTCCGTGTCCCTTTCCCGTGTCCCTATATCCGTGTTGCCATGTCCATGTCTTGTCTCAGTGTCCCCGTGCCCCGTGTCCGTGTCCCTTTCCCGTGTCCCCGTGTTCATGTCCCCGTGTCCCATGTCCCATGTTTCATGTCCCTTTCCCGCGTCCCCGTGTCCGTGTTGCCATGTCTGTGTCCCGTGTCCCCTGTCCGTATCCCATGTCCCATGTCTCATCTGTGTCCCTGTGCCCCCGTGTTCCATGTCCCGTGTCCGTGTCCCTTTCCCGTGTCCCCGTGCCCCGTGTCCCATGTTTCATGTCCCTTTCCCG